TTGTTCTCTCTCTCTTCCGATTTGGTCTCTTTGTCCTCACATTTGCTTCATTTATCCGATTTGCTTGCTATATCTTCGATAATTTGCGAAATTGCTTCAAATCTCGTGGAAATAGGTAAGTTTCGACTTAAATACTGTTATTCTGTGGGTTTTTTCTTGTTTTTGAGTTGTTTACTGTGTTTTGTGGGGGAAAATCGAGTCACATGAGACATTTGGATATATGAGGCATATGAGTTACATGGGTTACACAATCATATGAGTCAAATAAGTTGTCACATTGGACAGACACATGGGTCACATATGTCACATAGATCATGGGTCACATGGGTTACATGGGTCACATGGTTCACGGATCACATGTGTCACATGGGTCACGGGTCACATGGGTCACTTGGGTCACATGGGTCGAATTTATCGAATTATTGACTTGTCATGGTTATGCAGTGATTAAGTCTGGTAACGTGTTATTCTGTTTGTAAAATTTTTTTTACAGGTATAATGGATGTAATGGAGAGAACTACAATTATTTATTTTCTCTGTGGAGGAGAATGGATTGTGAATAAGAACGGAGAATACGAATGGAACGGGAGAGTTATGGACAACCAAAGATTGTTGTTCTTTTGTTCTCCAATTGAGGTAACATATGAGCAACTTGTTGAAGAGTTATATTCTGAGATGGCAATAGACAAAGATAAAACGAAGATCAAACTAAGCTATTTACCGAATGTAAAAGAAAACAGAAAGCCCACATACCTTTTGAATGACAAGCATGTTCACATTTATCTCCTGGACAAAATAAGTGGAATGAGAGGCATGCTTCATGAGCGGTACGAGATAGCATGTACATATGAGGTAACTGTGTTGAACAGTTTTACGGACGAGTTTGAGGTGAGAGATAAAATGGGTAGGAAACACTTGGTGAGTCTAGGGGATAGATCATGCAGTTGTAAGATGTTTGACATAGACAAATATCCATGCAGTCACGCAATCGCAACAGTCCACAAGACTGGCAGAGGCAATATTATACCGGACTTATGTTCTCCATACTTTCTCCGGGAGACATGGCGGTTGGCTTATCAAGAAACGGTTTATCCGGTTCCTGATTGTTGTGATTGGATCATTGACGACCCACGGGATGCAAACCTCGTGGTATTACCTCCGATTGTGGAAGATAAACGCAAAACCGGTAGACCCAAACAAAATCGGTTTCCAGGCCCCAGCGAACCGCGGACAAAGCGTTCAAAGAAGAACAAATAAAGATATTGCATAAATAATATGATTGTATGATTTCATGTAGTTCTCGTGATCTATGTGATTATATACATTTTCCAGAAGGACATCTATTTGAATAAGGTGATTTTCTTTGCACTAGTACCATGTTAAAGTCTTGAATAGATAGAAAAAAGTTTTGAACTGTGTGACCCATGTGACTCACCTGTGACCCATGTGATCCGAAGACATTTTTACACTGTGTGACCCATGTGACCCATGTGACCCGTATTATATACATTTTCCAGAAGGACATCTATTTGAATAAGGTGATTTTCTTTGCACTAGTACCATGTTAAAGTCTTGAATAGATAGAAAAAAGTTTTGAACTGTGTGACCCATGTGACTCACCTGTGACCCATGTGATCCGAAGACATTTTTACACTGTGTGACCCATGTGACCCATGTGACCCGTAACTCAGTGGTACTTATAAAACACGGTCAAATCTCGATTTTAAAGTGTTGAAATGAGTTATACGATGTTTTACAATGATAATATGGTATATGCAAGTTAAATTCGTTAACAAAAGTAAGAGTTATATGAACATTAGTACAATTTGTTCATAAGTTGTCATGAAACACTAGTATCACTTATGGATTACATTTGCAGGAGTGATTTGAATATGGAAATTGAAACGAATATGATTTTAAAGTTGTTATTGATGTTAAAATCCATGATTAATCACTGCATAACCATGCCAAGTCACTAATTCAATAAATTCGACCCACGTTGTTATTGATGTTAAAATCCATGATTAATCACTGCATAACCATGCCAAGTCACTAATTCGATAAATTCGACCCATGTGACCCATGTGACCCATGGACAGGTCCCCACTCTCTTCCCACCGCATGATGGTCTCCGAGAAGTGTAGATCACATATGCAACAGTTAGAGATCACAGTTTTACTGGAGTACTTCGGATAGTTGCACCGAAATGCACACATTGCCTCTTCTATATGCTGTCAAAGAAAAACAAAAACATGTTAGAGATGACCTGTGTGACCCGTAACCTATTTAATGGGGCCTTACCTCATCTGTGAGCCATTTTCCGCCCTCCAAAATAGTTTTAAAAAACTTTGAATCTCTAGTTGCATTCAAATGAGACTTCCATAGCCTTTTCTCTCGGGGCATATTCATAAATTTCCAAAGAAGGCTCGCTTTTAGAGTGGACGATGAAAGAAAAGATGCCTTCCTTTCGAGGTTGTCACCATTAACTCCTTCAGGTTGCCAGACAAAGTATGCAACCTCAGATTCTTCGCCTTCTGATTCCGGTTGTGTACCCCTGCTACTTCCTCTGCCCCTTCCTCTCCCCCTTCCCATTCTTCCTCTACCTCTGACAAGTGTCTTGCAACGTTTATTCTTTGCAGGGGGTTCACTCGATTCTGGTTCAACATATGGACTTCTTTTTGCCGGCCCTTGTCTTTGTTTTCTTTTCAAAGGAAATCTGAGTGGTGAAGTTTCAGAGCTAGAGTTACCTTCTGCTTGAGGGACTTCCTTTGGGGTTTCAGATGGGACTGCTTGAGGGACTTCCTTTGGGGTTTCAGATGGGACTGCTTGAGGGACTTCCTTTGGGGTTTCAGATGGGACTGCTTGAGGGACTTCCTTTGGGGTTTCAGAAGGGGCTATGTCATCCTCGCCTTCTATTGGGGTTTCAGAAGGTTTTGGGAGATTCAGAAGGTTTTGGAAGTGTATCGACCCCACGGAAATCGTTCACAGAAACGTAAATCATCAACCATGTCGAACAAATCATGGCTGATTTGTTCGGATGACAGGGCATGATCCAAGATTCCGGCCATCAAGCATACAATAGCCAATCTCTTACGATCTGCTGCCCTCTGGGGTGACATATATCTCAATTTCTCCACCACATCATTCAAACAAACTTTCTTACGTCCGAAAGTCTTTTTCCTGAACTCACTCTTTTTGAAGCTCTCCCATTCTTCTGGATATTTTCCACACTTCAAACCACATATAAGTGCATGCTCAATGATTGAGTACCTCACGGGCACACCATTGAGCACGAACCACAATTCCTTCTCGTCTTCCCCTTTAACAGAGCGGTTAATGAGAACTCCCGCAGGCGCCATCTTTAACTGGGGATCCCATTGCGCGTGGAATAGATGTTGGAACTGTGATTCTTTCTCGAAGTACGTCCATTCATCCTGTGTCAGTACTTCTTTAAGTGTCTTCAGTGTCTCATACGGATAACACTTCGTATTGATCTTCGAAGAAAACTGAATGTCTTCGAATTTGTAGACAAATGGAAGCTGCAAAATAAAATAATTGTTCGTCATTGTGATCTTTGTGACCTGGGACCTGGGATTCGTGGCTCATGTGACCTATGTGACCTGTGACCCATGTGACCAGTGACCCATGTGACCCGTGACCCGTGACCCCTGTGACTCGTGTGCGGTGTTGTGAGTTATATTATACTATTACCATATAAATCTCTGTGACCCATGTGACCTATGACCCACATGACCTTGCGACTTAGGAAATCATTAAATTTGCCAAGGTATTCCGAAATCTCATATCCACACTCTAACTTTCTATTTCGAATTCCTAAAACCCAAATTATATATTTCAAAACACAAAACCCTAACTTTATTTTCAGAAATCCCAAAACTTTAATTTCAATTTCGAAATCCCTAAACCCTAAATTCCTATTTTGAAATCCCAAATCATCCAACAAG